TGTTGTTGTGTGTTGTGTGTGTGTGTGTGTTGTGTGGTGCCGACCTATGTATACTCACCTATATGTACTCACCTATATGTGATTGCAGGGGTCGAGTCATAGCTCCTGGCCCCGCCTCTTCACTGTGTGTGTGGGGGAGGAGGATTCCAGGCTACTACTAGGGAATTAATATCTACTGTACTAGACTCTAGTACCTACCTACCTGCTGTCTACCTAGTACTGATTTCAAGGGTCATGTTCCACTAGTTCGACGCCTCACTTCTTACTGTATTTAGATATCTCGTTTATCACCTACCTACCTACCCACCCACCTACGTACGTACGTACCTACCTACGTATCTACCTGCTGTCTACCTAGTACTGATACCAAGGGTCATGTTCCATTTAGTTCGACGCCTCACTTCTTATTGTATTTAGATATCTCGTTTATCACCTACCTACCTACCCACCCACCTACGTACGTACGTACCTACCTACGTATCTACCTGCTGTCTACCTAGTACTGATACCAAGGGTCATGTTCCATTTAGTTCGACGCCTCACTTCTTATTGTATTTAGATATCTCGTTTATCACCTACCCACCTACCCCACCCACCTACGTACGTACGTACCTACCTTACTATCTACCTGCTGTCTACCCTAGTACTGATTACCAAGGGTCATGTTCCATTTAGTTCGACGCCTACTTCTTATTGTATTTAGATATCTCGTTATACACCTACCTACCACCCACCTACGTACGTACGTACCTACCTACCTACCTACCTACGTACGTACCTACCTACCTACCTACGTACGTACCTACCTACCTACCTACCTACCTACCTGCTGTCTACCTGGTACTCATACCAAGGGTCAGCATCCACGCAGTTCGATGCCTCGTTTTTGTGATTTTTTTTATGATAGATTTTGAAACACTTGTAAATCCCTTTGAAGCAGAAAAAATTAAAATCTAGAAAATATACAGATAACTTTTCCTTCCTGGAAATAAAATCATACACGTCAGTTACTGGATAAGTGAGTCAGGCTGGTTCACTTATCCGACGTGTTGCTGGTTCACTTATCCAGCGTGTTGCTGGTTCACTTATCCAGCGTGTTCTGGCTCACTTATCCAGCGTGTTGCTGGTTCACTTATCCAGCGTTTTGCTGGCTCACTTATCCAGCTTGTTGCTGGCTCACTTATCCAGCGTGTTGCTGGCTCACTTATCCAGCGTTTTGCTGGCTCGCTTATCCAGCGTGTTGCTGGTTCACTTATCCAGCGTGTTGCTGGTTCACTTATCCAGCGTGTTGCTGGCTCGCTTATCCAGCGTGTTGCTGGCTCGCTTATCCAGCGTGTTGCTGGCTCGCTTATCCAGCGTGTTGCTGGCTCGCTTATCCAGCGTGTTGCTGGCTCACTTATCCAGCGTGTTGCTGGCTCACTTATCCAGCGTTTTGCTGGCTCGCTTATCCAGCGTGTTCTGGCTCAGCTTATCCAGCGTGTTGCTGGCTCGCTTATCCAGCGTGTTGCTGGCTCGCTTATCCAGCGTGTTGCTGGCTCGCTTATCCAGCGTGTTGCTGGCCTTCGCTTATCCACGTGTTGCTGCTCGCTTATCCAGCGTGTTGCTGGCTCACTTATCCAGCGTGTTGCTGGCTCACTTATCCAGCGTTTTGCTGGCTCGCTTATCCAGCGTGTTACTGGCTCACTTATCCAGCGTGTTGCTGGCTCACTTATCCAGCATGTTGCTGGCTCACTTATCCAGCGTTTTGCTGGCTCACTTATCCAGCGTGTTGCTGGTTCACTTATCCAGCGTGTTGCTGGTTCACTTATCCAGCGTGTTGCTGGCTCACTTATCCAGCATGTTGCTGGCTCACTTATCCAGCGTGTTGCTGGCTCACTTATCCAGCGTGTTGCTGGTTCACTTATCCAGCGTGTTGCTGGCTCACTTATCCAGCGTGTTGCTGGCTCACTTACCCAGCATGTTGCTGGCTCACTTATCCAGCGTGTTGCTGGCTCACTTATCCAGCGTGTTGCTGGCTCACTTACCCAGCGTGTTGCTGGTTCACTTATTCAGCGTGTTGCTGCCTCAGTCAACAACACGCTATCACCAACAGGCTGGTTGTCTTGACAGTCACCAGGATATCAGTCCCCAGGCTATGTTACTAGGGTTCTAAAACTCTACAACGGTCACATGCACGTCACGGGCCAGCATCAGTACAACTCTGATACTGTAACTTTTCTAGGCTAGATTAAAATGGGTTAGTTTAGATTGGGTTAGGTTGATTATGTTAGTTTAGTTTAGCTTAGTTTAACTTAGGTCAGTTTAGGCTTGGTTAGGTTAAGTTAGGCTAGGTTAAGTTAGGTTAGGTTAGTTTAGTTTAGGTTAGTTTAGTTTAGGTTAGTTTAGGGTTGGTTAGGTTAGGTTAAGTTAGTTTAGGTTAGGTTAGTTTAGCTTAGGTTAGGTTAATTTAAGTTAAGTTAGGTTAGTTTACGTTAGGTTAGGTTAGTTTAGGTTACGTTAGTTTAGGTTAGTTTACGTTAGATTAGGTTAGGCTAGTTTAGGCTAGTTTACGTTAGGTTAGGTTAAACGTACATTAAACGAAATTAGCGTATATTTAACCTACATTAACAATATAATTGGTATCCCCTGCGCATGCTGTTCCAGTTGGTATCCCCCACAAATGTTGTTCCAATTGGTACCCCCACACATGTTGTTCCAGTTGGTATTCCCCAGACATGTTCCAGTTGGTACCCCACACATGTTGCTCATGTTGGTATCCCCCAGACATGTTATTCCAGTTTGTATTCCCAAACGTGTTGTTCCAGTTGGTATCCCCATGTAGTTGGTATCCCTCCACACATGTTGTTCCAGTTGGTATCCCACACATGTTCCAGTTATTATCCTCCACGCATGCTGTTCCAGTTTGTATCCCCACACATGATGTTCTAGTTGATATCCCTCACGCATGCTGTTCCAGTTGGTATCCTTCAAGCATTCTGTTCCAATTGGTATCCCCCAAGCACGCTGTTCTAGTTGGTATACCCACGCACGTTGTTCCAGTTGGGTATCCCTCATGCATGCTGTTTCATTTGATATCCCTCACGCATGCTGTTCCAGTTAGTATCTCTCTCGCAAGCTGTTCCAATTGGTATCCCCACGCACGTTGTTCCAGTTGGGTATCTCTCACGCATACTGTTCCAATTCGTATCCTCAAGCACGCTGTTCTAGTTGGTATACTCACGCACGTTGTTTCAGTTGGAATCCCCACGCACGTTGTTTCAGTATCCCTCACGCATGCTGTTACAGCTGGTAACCCCAACACATGCTGTTCCAGTTGGTATCCCTAAACACGTTGTTCAAGTTTGGTATCCCTCACGCATGCTGTTCCAGTCTGTATCCCCACGCACGTTGTTCAAATTGGGTATCCCACACGCATACAGTTCCAGTTGGTATCCCTCACGCATGCTGTTCCAGTCTGTATGCCCACGCACGTTGTTCCAATTGGGTATCCCACACGCATGCAGTTCCAGTTGGTATCCCTCACGCATGCTTTTTTAGTTGGTATCCTTCGTGCATCCTGTTCCAATTGGTATCCTCTATACAGGCCTGATTAAACAGTGTTAGGTTAGAATTAGTAGACGGAGGATCGAGTCCACACTGCTACACCAGCGACCAACACTAGTCTAAATGCAAAATCTAAATGCAAAGTCTCCCAGGAGTCTCCCAGGAGTCTCCCAGGAGTCTACCTGGAAACGTTTCGCTACGCAGTGGCTGAGGGATTGATTACCACAAACTCCTCCACGTCTTCCACCTTTCTTTGCATTGGACTGAAGAAGCCATTGCGTGGCGAAACAGGCTTCCCGATGGATGGCCTGATCAACCAGGCTGTTGGTGCTAGACGCACGACGTCCAACGTCAGCATCACAGCCCGGCTAATCAGGAACAGATTTGAGATACTCACCGCGTCACTTATTTACTCTGGTGTATTCGACACTGCCAAGCCTCTGGCTTTGGTAGGGAATGATTTCTCTGTTGATTTCCGTGTGTTGATTTCCGTGTGTTGATTTCCGTGTGTTGATTTCCGTGTGTTGATTTCCGTGTGTTTATTTCCGTGTGTTTATTTCCGTGTGTTTATTTCCGTGTGTTGATTTCCGTGTGTTGATTTCCGTGTGTTGATTTCCGTGGTTGATTTCCGTGCGTTGATTTCCGTGTGTTGATTTCCGTGTGTTGATTTCCGTGTGTTGATTTCCGTGTGTTGATTTCCGTGTGTTGATTTCCGTGTGTTGATTTCCGTGTGTTGATTTCCGTGTGTTGATTTCCGTGTGTTGATTTCCGTGTGTTGATTTCCGTGTGTTGATTTCCGTGTGTTGATTTCCGTGTGTTGATTTCCGTGTGTTGATTTCCGGGTGTTGATTTCCGTGTGTTGATTTCCGTGTGTTGATTTCCGTGTGTTGATTTCCGTGTGTTGATTTCCGTGTGTTGATTTCGTGTGTTGATTTCCGTGTGTTGATTTCCGTGTGTTGATTTCCGTGTGTTGATTCCGTTGTTGATTTCCGTATGTTGATTTCCGTGTGTTTGATTTCCGTTGTTGATTTCGTGTGTTGATTTCCGTGTGTTGATTTCCGTGTGTTGATTTCCGTGTGTTTGATTTCCGTGTGTTGATTTCCGTGTGTTGATTTCGTGTGTTGATTTCCGTGTGTTGATTTCCGTGTGTTGATATCCGTGTGTTGATTTCCGGGTGTTGATTTCCGTGTGCTGTTTACTGTGTGTTGATTTCTGTGTTGTTTACTGTAAGCTGTTCTGTGTGTGTTCTCTCTGTGTTGTTTTCTGTGTTGATTTAAGACCAAATTTTGGGATTTTCCAGGTGTATTAATGTATTTTTTTCCATCTCTTATATTTACATTTCAAGAAAAACAGATGGAAGGAGTTCAAACTTTCCCATTAGATTAGATGCTTCTTAATTAAGAAAGTTTACTTGTGTTAAATTAATTAAAGTTTTTTTTTTTTTTGTATCCTCGCAGGTGAGATGAGTGTTGCTGTACTGTTGCTGTACTGTTGCTGTGCTGTGGTGAGGTACTGCTGTCTACCTGTTGTGGTCTAGGACCCTGCAGGTAACTACTGCCCACCTGCTATGGTCCGGGAGGTAAGTACTGTCTACCTGCTGTGATCTGGCACTGGGGAAGGTAGCTACTGTCTTCCTGTTCTGGTCTGGGACCCGGGAGGTAAGTACTGTCTAACTGCTCTGGGCTGGCACGGGAAGGTAAGTACCCTCTACTGATCTGGTCTGGGACCGGGCCACAGGGACGATGACCCACAAACTCAGCTACCTTCTCCCTCACAACACATCTTCATGAAGTGTAGTGCTGGTATACTCCCTCACTGTGATACACCTGTGATCATTCTCGAGAGTTTTTTGAGCCTACAATCACGGTTTCTAGCCAAGGTTTCTTGTAGGATATTTTTCCAGCCAAGTTGATACTATTAGCAGCTCTCTGGCCTCATAGCTATCACAGCCTGGTTGATATGGCACTTAACGGAGGTAGTAATCTAGATTCCGCTTGACGCCTTCTGCAAAAGATTCCGTTAAATCTGCTGTTAGTACGTTGTACACTCTTTCACCACAAATGTTGCCACAAATGGTGTCCCTGCTGTTTACTGTGTCTGTTTTGTACTACCTCGCTCCACTGCGTTATGGAAGTGTGTGGATTTACGCCGGTATCTCCGATATCTTACATGTATCAAGTATCATCTCCTGTGCTCCAGAGAAGCACATTTTAAGTACTTCGAGGCGTTTCTAGCATTTTATATATTTTATTAATTCAGTGTGACAGAAAACGAACTTTGCACATTTTCCAGTTCGCGTCTGGACACCCCTTTCAGATTTCCATGATGTGTGATGTTAGTGCTAGCGGTCTGTAGATTTTTGTCAATAGTCTGCTCCATCCCTTGTGAAGAGAAGCTACTGTACATCTACACTCTTTAAGGCCTCTGGAATTTCGCCAGAATCCAGACTTCTCCTACAATGAACACTGCTCGTGCTAATGGTACTTTGCATTCCTGTACATATATATAATGCAAGCTTGTATGTGCATATTTATGTATTTCTCGAAGTCAAAGGACGTCTGCTAGTGCTTCGTACGTAGTTTGTATGTTGGGCAGAGTTAGTGAAGAAATTATCCAGGTCTTCAATACTTGTGGAGTTGATTGCTAAACACTGATTCTTACTATTCTTTAAGGATCTCTAAATTTCTTTGTTGAAAATTTTTTGTGAATATCTTCAGAGTAGCGAAGAGAGAGAAAAGTAGTGTCAGTGGTGACGGCCAAGGTCAGTTCGTCACCATCACCAACACCACCACCACTACTGCTACTACTAGTAGTACTACTATTAGTACTACTACTACTAGTACTACTACTACTAGTACTACTACTACTAGTACTACTACTACTACTAATACTAATACTACTACGGCTACTACTACGACTACTACTACGACTACTACTACGACTACTACGACTACTATTAGTACTAGTACTACGACTCCTAGTACTACGACTACGACTACTACGACTACGACTACTACGACTACTACGACTACGACTACTACCACGACTACTACGACTATTACTACGACTACGACTACTACGACTACGATTACTACTACGACTACGACTACTACGACTACGACTACTAATACGACTACTACAAGTGTCTATGGATGCATCATCCTGTACTGCTGGCAGCAGACTCTCTAGCTTCACTGTGTGTAAATAATACCTGCTCTAGCAGTGATAAGATAGGTGTAACCAGGTGTGCGGTTGTGCCAGTTATTCACACGTGGCAGGATATCCTCTGATGATCACAGTGCCACCCTGACCCGTGCCACCGAATCTGCTGGCTCTTCGGTATTAATAAGTTCTGTGTTTTCGACATGAGTTTTCGACATAAGTTTCGGTGTTTTCGGCAAGGAGCGATTGTATACATCACCTCACTGAAACCAGAGAACAGTTAAAAGAGAAAATTCAGCTTTTTTTACAGGCCACACTGCAGGATAAATATATTACACTTACCCTCGCCAAGAAGATAAGTGTTGCCTCTTCCACAACCAGCAAAAGGACGGCCTCCAGGACCAACAACAACGCAGGTGTCTGCGTTCCATGCGGCGGCTGTGACCAGAAATACATGGGACAGACCTCCCGTAGCTGGCTGAAAGAAGACCAGCGTGCGTGCAGAACTCAGAGCATGAGTAATGAACGGGTTATACATAGGGACAAGACTGCAAACCTGATATCTCACAAGGACACCAGGCTGGTTATCGAAGAAATGGACAAAATACTATGAAGACTACCTGGAAGCTGAGCTAATGTGTACCAGTGAAAGAATCCAACAGAATCAAGGAGCTTTCAATTGAGCACAGATCCTCTTACAAAAACAATCATGGGAAGGATCGGCAAGCTTCCTGCGGTCGTCCTATCAAGCAATTCACGCACATAGTTTGCTTGGGTGTGCATCCTTGTGCCGTGACTGTAGAAGTTTGTTCACTGGCGATACGTGTCGATGAAATTCCTATCTGTAACTGTGTTTTTCTTTTTTCTCCAGTGCTGGAGGTAATGTGTATATGTAGTTGAAGTGTTGGGAGTAGTGTTTGCATGTAGCAACACCGTTGGAGGCAGTGTGTATATGTAGCAGCAGTGTTGGAGGCAGTGTGTATATGTAGCAACTGTTGGAGGCAGTGTGTATATGTAGCAGCAGTGTTGTAGGCAGTGTGTACATGTAGCAACACCGTTGGAGGCAGTGTGTATATGTAGAAGCAGTATTGGAGGCAGTGTGTATGTAGCAGCAGGGTTGGAGGCAGTGTGTATGTAGCAGCAGGGTTGGACGTAATGTGAGCACGTAAAAGTAGTGTTGGAAGTAGTCTGTGTATGTAGCAATAGTATTGGAGGTAGTGTGTGTATGTAGTAGCGGTGATGGAAGTTGTGTATAGGTAGTAGTAGTGTTGGAGGCAGTGTGAGTATGTAGTAGCAGTGTTGGAGGTAGTGTGTGTATATGTAGCAACAATGTTGGAGGTAGTGTGGAGGTAGCAGCAGTGATAGAGGTAGTGTGTATATGTATGATAGTTTATCTTCACAGCTTCCTGTAGTGTGGCGCATTACACTTAACGCTCCAGCAGTCTACATGGGGATACCAACGCTCTAAGGGATGCTCTCAGCCTTGCCACACACTCAGAGGACACCTTGAAGGACGACCCTGAGTAGCAAGCTCCACTCGACTTCAGATTATTTTGTGTGTCGAGAAGATAGTCCTATCTCCACTACACCTCCTTCCATCCTGCTAAGTCGCTTCCATGACTTCATTAAAAAACAGGCAATATTAAAATTACTGAAACAGATGGTATCATTAATGGAAAGGATGGGTGTCATTAAGGACACTGATATTTGGTTGGAGATTGGTGAGTTTTAGTCGCAAGTTATAAATCCAAATTTTAAATGTTCTTGTAGCTACTGTCGGCACTTCTTGGTATCAGCAGCTGCCATTATGGGTAGGAATAATGTTTGTCAGGAAACAGGACGCGGGTCTTAGTCATATAATAACCCACAGCTGGAGTTTTTGGTCATCTGATCGAGGCCTTCCGCTCCGTTATGGGTGTTACATTGGTGAATTTATAGTAAATACACAGCTCTTTTGCTGTCGCTCTGCATATTGAGAATGTACTGGCTCCTCAACAGTGTTTAAGGTGAGGGAGTACGTTCAGCACGGCAAGTGAACAAGAATACTACACGTACCTATATCCTTCCCGGGACAGAAGAGATGAGAGACAAGGGGGGGGGGGAGTGGAAGGTCACAGATATACAACACAAAGCACGTTTCAAGACATTTACTGACCCTCTTTCAACCTCCAGCCATTTATCGACCTCTTCAATAGTCCCATCGACACTTAGGGGGCGATACTGACCACTTCGAAGTACTCACTGTAGAGACTATAAACAGGTATGTTATTAATGTTGTCTGTCATATTGTAGGTATAAAACTACAGATCACTGAGCCGTTCTGGCCACGTTGGACATATCATGATCTATATATATAAAGCTAAAAATGGTTATATTAATAACCATTAATTTTTAAAGGGGTGGAGTGGTAAGCCAGTGAAAGGCCTTGATCAGATGACCAAAAGCTCCAGTGGCTGGTCATCATATGACCAAAACCCGCGTCAAGCAACACCTGTCCTGTTTCCTGACAAACCTTATCTTACCTTACCATTAGAAAAATATGTGTAAGTGTTCTATTCCTTCCTATAGAGTAGGAATCTTCATGTTTGTGATCCTGGTGCTCATTGCAGATCTAAGAATTATCCTCATATGGGTATTCTGGATTACATCACGTTAATTAAGCAAAGTGTGGTAAGTTAATCAAGTGTAGGACATTGTAGTTAATGAGAATATGATAAACGTTATGGAGACAAATAACCTTGCATATATGATATTAATGCCTCCAGTGACGGTTGTTTATGCTGTGTTGCCAGGGCTTGCCATGTCACACTGTTAAGATCATTCTCACGGGCTCTTCTGACCGATTTCTTGGGTTCTATTCCTCGTAGTCTGGCCTATGGCCGGGCTTCTCTGTTGATATGTTATGCTGTCAGTAGATTCATGTTTAGATGTTTGAAATCCCTTTATTACCCTCTAAAACGTTTCACAAGACTATTTGCGCTAATGCAAGGATCACATGTTTAAAATAATTTACCACACATCTGATAGAAGTAAAAAGGGGTTTGTTCACAAGGTCGTTTCTCGCATATTTAATTACGTTTGTGTATTGAGTGTTGGGTAGCTGCCAACATTGTTGCGTCAACACTATCATACCTTGGTAGCTGCCAACATTGTTAAGTCAACATTATCAAACCTTGGTAGCTGCCAACACTGCTACGTCACCACTATCAGAACTTGGTAGCTGCCAACATTGCTACGTCACCACTATCAGACGTTGGTAGCTGCCAACATTGCTACGTCACCACTATCAAACCTTGGTAGCTACCAACATTGCTACGTCACCACTATCAAACCTTGGTAGCTACCAACATTGCTACGTCACCACTATCAGACCTTGGTAGCTGCCAACATTGCTACGTCACCACTATCAAACCTTAA